CAATAGGACAGATACATTTGGGACTAACGATTTTAAGGCTAAATTATTTTGAAACACAATTACTTCTATTTCTGTTGCAGCGATGTCTTCGCCAAAATTCTGCATAACACAAGTTGCAAACTGTTGGATATCAATTTCCATAAAGGGTGAAACAACAAACTGCGCTACTAAAGCCATTTCGTTGAAATCCTTAAAACGATTTTTGAAGTTATTCTTCAGGGTAGAAACTATTTCTACATGATATTTGCTGTCATAGGGTTCTAATGGATTTTGAGATATTTTTTCTGAAAGAATAGGAAAATGCTTGGCATCGCTGTTAATTAGGTTGTGTTCCCAAAACTCCAGCTTTTTGATAACTGCTTTTATATCAGAAAATATTTCCGCTAGTTCTTTGTCTCTCCCCTGAAGCTGCAAATTAAGTTCATTTAATTTCTCTGTAATGTCCACGAGAAAACCAAAATCTCTAAGCCAGATTGAATTTTCTAGTTCCGGAGTCGGTTCATCGCGTTGTTTGAAAAATTGAACTATGCCAGATAGGACATCATTAAAACGTTTCAGCACCCGTCTTCTGCTTAACCATCGGACTTCAGAGTGAAGGAGTAGGTCCCCGTATTGACAGTCAACTTCATCGGCCAAGGTTTTGAATAATCTTCCTTGTAACTCTTGAGCTCTAATCTTGTTCATAATTTTTACCACCGGTTTCATAACGTTGTTTAGTTTTAGGAAATTTCCACATAATGCTTGCTGATGGATAATGCAGTGGTAACAGAGAAATTGCGGAAAAGTTTTATCTTTACGACATAACGCCACCGACCCTTATCACAACCCACCATAGCTGGAGCGCCATCGGTTTTCAACATAGATATATAACCAAGACAGATAGGATTATTTACAAAATTTTTGAAGAATGAAAGGTGGTGTCCGCGGTAGAAACTCAATAATCGGATTGAACATTGATGCCAAGTTTACGTGCTTTTAACTATAGATATATATAACCAATACAGATTACACAATTTCTGAAGTCAACGCGGATGATCCTCGACAGAAATGCAATATTTGGATAAAATTAAAATATTGATGCCAAGTTTGCGATGTTTTTAACTGTAGTAATGTTATTGCGTTTGCTTGAATTACTGTTAGGTCTTTAAATTGTCCAAAAAAAAATAATGTCTGACAACAGCGGAAGTAGAGTAGACCGCAATTGTGGAGGGTCGTATATTGTTTCATTCATAAAAATTCCTTCGATACAGTACTAGTCCAGAAGCCAGTGAATTTTTTCGTACTTGTTTTCCCGGTCCGTGTATATTTAAATAATCTATTCCCGGTAAACTGTATATTTAAAATGGAACGCCAATCTATTAACAAAAGTAAGCCAGATTGAATTCGCGCATTACGTCACATCGATACAAGTGAGATTGTTTACAAAGTGCCTTTGCAGGCCTATTTTGCCCATTTCATGTATTTGTTTTTAAATCATGTTAAATTACTATTTTTGAAACTCAACAAGGAGAAAATCCAATTAACTCTTCCGTTGTGTATATATATAAAAGATAAATTAACTGAAGTTTTATTGGTAAAGTATTAATACTAAAATTTTAATGTAATTTACAGAAAATAGCTAGGTATGTATTTGTTTTTAAATAATTTGATAATTTATGAAAAAGGGAGTAAAAGTGGAATGACCCGTGGCCAGTAGGTCAGTCAATACAAAGTATCATATATTTCTATTATAACATAACTAAAATACCTACATCTTTTAATCATACGGACATAAGTTAAAAACCATTTTAATATATGCATTAGAATGAAGTAATAATAACTTAAAGAGACGAGGTCTTAAAGTAATAGCTGGTACAGCATGTTTTTTAAACGTTTCCTCATTGCTGCTAGAATGAAATCACTTACTCTGAAATGTGCTCTAAAAACGGCATTTATAGCAGTCAGTGTTCAGTCTTAGGATCTCTTCCTAAAGCCCTCATCCAAGCTGCATACATATTAAAAAATAATTTAAAAAAAACTTATTAAATACCTATATAGTTTTCGGTTCTGGGTGCCCTAAAAGAGAACACTTAGCCGACAATTTGGCTCAGATAGCTAAAACCCAAAACTCACACCCCGAACCAGGACGTATTGCTATCCTTTTAAGTAAAAAATAACTACAAATAACTTACCTGAAAAATGAAGGCGTCTAACTTTACACCAAAAAAACCATACACTTTTTCCCATTGTTGCAAGCACCCGATGACGATTAGGTAGATATCAACTAGAAGCATGTACTTAATGGTTATAAAGCTTATTTTAACACAAAAAGAATAAAGCACTAGTCGAAAAGCAGCAATCAAATATAAATAGACCACAATGTTAAAATTCAAATTAAAAACTATATAAAAGACAAATACTCTAAAAGCGCAAAAGATCAGAACCAAATAAAATGAATAACCATAATAACCTAAAAATCACACTAAAATTGCAAAAACTATTACTGTAAAATCATGAGATTACATCAATAATGCATATGCGTCGGAGTATCGCAAATGTCAAAAGTACAGTGTTTCCATGAAAATTTAGCTATGTTTTTAGCAGTATTATAGGACCATTTCTACCACGCGCATCCAACGATATTGGCGTTCCACAGTTCACTGTATTTTCCTCACACCTCTAGTATAAATGATTTGACATAACGAAACTAACAATAATTATAATTAATGTAGTACTAAGTGATTCGTGAATTCTAAATAAAACAATTATATAAAAGTGTAAAAGGAAATATAATTTATTTCCCTATTTTCTTCTGTAATATCTTCAATTATTATGTTTAATTTCTATAAATAAACCAACTGGTTAGGTGAAACATTGTGATATAAGATTTTAATTATGTGTCCTATGCGTACACTTTAATATACAAAACACCTGGAACATTCTTTAAATAATTGTGGTCGTAGAAATAATTGTGTACATAACTCGTTTGAAAGTGTATTTTATGCACTTGCCAAATATATTATCCATACAGATTAATCAGACTATTTTTTACTTAACTTCAGTACATCTCTTACTACTAAAACTATTTTTATTAATGGAAAAAAAGGGCCGTGTTCTCGTATGTTTTGACGCATTTTCGGCCTCAGCCCATCGGATCCCTCTCTAAATATATATGAATTTTGCTTAGAATTGCTAGTCCTACAATTCTCTATTCGTGCTTGCTGACTGGGAAAATAAATACCGAAAATCGTCACTGTCTCCTGGACTATACAATAGATGATGATGAGAACTTCACAACAAATACACTTTTATGAATGGCTAGTTGGGGATGTGGTTTTCAAGCCTACCATTTTCGATATTGGAGTTTTCTCGGAAGACATAATATTTTTTGAATGAGAAAACAACTCCTGTCCAATAGTGTGTCCTTTCAGTGGAATAAACTTCAAAAGATCTTCTTTAATCGTAAAATCACTAATAACGATCCTGACGAACACGGTCATCTGGGCAGTGTCAACGACATTTGTTGATTCATCCAGTTAAAGTGAAAAATAAACACAGTTATCTAAGTCAGTTATTAACTGTAAAAAAATATCATTGCTCATTACTTCTACACGTCTCATCACTGTATTAGCAGAAAGTTGCATAGATTTTATAGCTGAAACTATCTCGTCTTTATTTCTAAAGTTGGCAAATAACGAATCAGCAGCTTCTAAAAACGCCTGTTTTATCATTTCCCCGTCTTCATAAGGTTCCTTTTTTTGTGCAATTATCTGGGACACACGGTACGACGCTTCAGTTGCAGCCTTATTTTTGTCGACTGTTCTTAAAAATATTGATTGTTGTCCAATTAACTGCTTTTTTAACTGTTTCAGTTTCTTCTTTCTGGCCGCAGAATGTAGTGGGAATGATTTTTCAAAATTAGAATGTACAGTTTTATTATGTCTCTCAACATTTCCTTTTTTAGCAACGGAGACCGAAGTATTACATAACAAACAAACATTTTTATCTTTAACTTCTGTAAAAAAGTATTGTTCTTCCCATTCCGAATGAAAGTGGTATGTCTTTACCTTCTTACAACTGCTTGCCATAATATTATTTTTTGTTGTTCTCTACTAACCCAACCGCTGGACGTTGGTTACGCGTTCAGTTTTAAAATTAGCGCAATGTCGCCGCGCCGTGCGTATTTAATCCCGTTCAAAGCAATCCTGATCGTTCTCGAACACTAACGCGCTGGTCCGGCTGGTCGGTTCTAGCCGATTCTAGCTTGATGGCGTCAGCGGCAGATCGCTCACCGCAACGTTGCCGCTGTTTATGTTTAATATTATGACAATTAGATTTTTTTGTGGAATTTTCGGAAGCTTCTCTGATTTTTGCAGTTTGTATTTTTTAAATTAAAATCGTTGTGAGAGCTACCTGAATTGCCTCCGCGAGCTACCGGTAGCTCGCGTTTGACAGGTTGGCGACCACTGCTCTAATAGATTTCTTCCTTTTGGAGTGATTAATCTTGATAATCGGGAAACACTTTTCTACAGGCAGATATTGCTGCTTTTTTAAAATCTATTTTTATGTTTGTTAAATGGTATATATTTTTTCATAAGTGTAAATAACTCGACATATGCTTCAGTTTTCTGTTTTGTAACAATGTGTATAATGTTGGTCGAGCACATTTCGCCATTTCATTGTTTTTGAAATCCACATGGAAAGTGCAAAATTGATCAAATGAAGATGTACAACTTTTAAAAGTTTTGTTGGTGAAATTCTTCATGAAAAATTATAAACAAAATATTTGTTGAAATAAGGGAAGATCAGAATGTCGGTATAGTGATTATAGAAAAAGGATTTTATATTCTTATTGCATTCACAACATATCTGATAGAGGGTTGAAGGTTTGACGTACCATCTTCTATTCTACCACAAAAAGTACAAAATAAATTATCAGCTCAAAAAACTCTATAGTTTCCTAGACTTTTTCACTAAAAAGAAACTTACTATCCTGCATACTTATATTTTTCGTTTTCTAGTCTGTATACGGCTTGACGGAAATTACAGCAGCAGTATTCTTTTCCACGGAAAACGACTCAGAATATCAAGAACTAAATACAGTAGGAAAATTGCAAGAGCATGTAGAAGTCAAAGTTGTTGACACAGATGGCCACATTGTACCTTATGGTGTTCCAGGAGAGCTCCACGTTCGGGGTTTTTCTACTATGCTAGGTTATTACAAGGACAAAACGAAAACTAACGAAATGATAGATTCAAATGGTTGGGTGCATACAGGGTAAGTTTGAAACTACAATAAAGCCGAGGCAGTATGGAATCTTTTGATTTTTCGAAACAAGTTGAAAAAAATTTTAATACGAGTCAAAATTATATCATCTAATATAAGTTTTGCTGGCAACCGTCCAGGGGTAAAATTTATGATACCTCTTTTTATGTTGATAACTCATTTATTAAATAAATTAGTAGTATAGTAAAATGATGTAACTGTGTTTAATCGGCATACTTAAATTGTTTTATAATGAATATTAATATTACAGCGACCAATTTATATTAACAGAAGATGGATATGGTCAAGTTGTGGGAAGATTAAAAGATGTAATAATTAAGGGAGGAGAAAACATATACCCTAAAGAAATAGAAGAACATTTGCTTACGCATCCTGACATTTTGATTGCATACGTAAGTTTGTTTGTATTATTTATAATCTGATGGTTTGGTTGTATAAACCATATTTTTAAGATAGTGCTATAGAAAAATCTACAGGGGTCAAATTAGGAGAACGCATCGGTTACCTTATATGTCATATCCACAATAGATCTGAAAAGGTCGAGGTGGGGGAGGCCACATGGCCCATAGTCCTAATTAAATCTACGATAATCTACCTTATATGTCCCTTGTTTCAATTCCATTTTTGATGGTATTTTAACAAAATTCAGTAAATATAAATAATAATTATGGTATATAGGATGGGTAATTTATAATGAATAACCCTGTACCTAATAGTTAGTAAAAATTATTTAATTTTAATTTGCACTTTTTTATGTACATTAAAGAAATATGTAATTTCGTGTTTTCTTGCTGCTGACATTTTGCGACACACTGTATATTCAAATACAAAATAGTGTAATTTTCTTTTAACACATAACTAATACAAATTTATTAACAAAAAAAAAATACTTGTTATTTTCGGTATATGTAAAATAATTTTATTCATTGTCTCAAGATTTAAAAAAAAATACTGGACCTTATATAATTTTATTACAATTATTTGATGATCGCGAGTGGCTAACGCACGAAGGCAAAATTTGAGCACGACGATTTATAGGTCACTACTACACTTTGTGTAAATTAGCGCCATCTATGAATCTTGCATACTACTATAACACGAGTTAGAATTTCACTATTAAAGATCCCCTAGCCTTCCTTTTTGTAGTAGTGTATTCCGTCAGCGATAGATGTAGCAGCTAGTCGACTTTCGGTTTTGAAATTACCTGTCATTCATTTTATTTTAATTTTAGCATTGTAAAAATATAGTTGTCTTCTTAAAGATGTATTTATTTAATTAGTGTATTTAGGCGTTGTACTATGCAATTATTTAGGTACATACAATAATTTAGACTAAATTTAAATTTAAATAGAAATCTGCAGATTTTTAAAAACGAATGAGTAGCTCAGTAATAAAATCAATTATCTGTTTAAGAAATCGTGGCAGGCAACCAAACATACATCAACTTACAGCATTGGTTGCCTATAGGTAAAACGTAAAATTACACTTTTTAATAATTATTATTTTGTTTTGCAAACTAGGTAAATATAAAATTAAATTTTCAATGTAAGGAGGATCTTATTCGCTCAGTGCGAAGTCATGGTAGGGGAAGCAAAACCGATTCTAGCGCTAGCTGTGGATAATTCGTGCATTTTAGGGCAATATTTTGTAATTTTGGCGTATCAAATATACGTATAGGTATATTTTACTTATTTAAAAAATAAAATGGTTAAGAGCAATACAGTGAGCAACCGGAGTTGCTGTGTTGTAAATTGTAAAAATACTAGCAAAAAACAGTGTATTTTTATAAATGGAAGTGTCAAAATGGAAATTAAATCAAAGAAATAAACGGTACCTATAATTGCAGTAAGAAGGAAAAAGTAATTGCAAACTTTTATTTTTGTAACAAGAGTATCTAATAGATACCTATTGAAAATAGTAGACATCAGAAAACTGAAAGGTTTCATATTTAATACTTAAATTATTATTATTATTATTATTATTATTATTATTATTATTATTATTATTATTATTATTATTATTATTATTATTATTATTATTTTACAATGCTCTTTAAAATTCCTTTGGAAGGTACATGTTCAAGATCACAATATTTCTGCCTTTGATTATGATTATTGTCTGTATTTGGAATGCAATTTTATGACTGACTGATTGGAAAACAGTTATTTAATAATTTGTTCTAAAAATGAAGAGAACAAGTATAAATTACATTTGAAAATATTACAATATTTCAAATATTTTTTGGGAATAAATTTTGAAATACACGTTTGACATTAAGCTTCAACTTATAATTGCATAAAAATGCTATGCAATAGCTTTACCGCGGCAGTCCCCGAGTGTCATACGTATTTTTTTACGTTTTGGGGTCATCTCATTCCGTTTTGACTATTTTCGCGATTGTGTGTATGGTGCGTGCGTGTGCTTGCGTGCGTATCCATGCGTGCATATCCGTGCGTGTGTGTGCATGCGTGCGTGTGCGAGTGTGTGTGTGTGTGTGTGTGTGTGTGTGTGTGTGTGTGTGTGGGTGCGTGCGTGCGTGCGTGTGTGTGTGTATGTGTGTGTGTATGTGTGTGTGTGTGTGTATGTGTGTATGTGTGTGTGTGTGTGTGTGTGTGTGTGTGTGCGCGCGTGTGGGAGTGCGTGTGCGTGTGTGTATGTGTGTGTGTGTGTGTGTGTGTGTGTGTGTGTGTGTGTGTGTGTGTGTGTGTGTGTGTGTGTGTGTGTGTGTGTGTGTGTGTGTGTGTGTGTGTGTGTGTGTGTGTGTGTGTGTGTGTGTGTGTGTGTGTGTGTGTGTGTGTGTGTGTGTGTGTGTGTGTGTGTGTGTGTGTGTGTGTGTGTGTGTGTGTGTGTGTGTGTGTGTGTGTGTGTGTGTGTGTGTGTGTGTGTGTGTGTGTGTCAGAGCTGGGACGAATCCTCAAAAAATTGATTCGAATCACGAATCTGAATCACGAGATGTGATTCGAATCACGGATCCTATGTCCGGATCCTTTTTGCAATAAAAAAGGATTCGAATCAAGTGATTCGAATCCATTGTTTCGGATCACGAGAATGACTCTATTACGGACTATGACTTACATACAAATGGTTGATACAAGAAGATGTTGAAAAAAATAAACTTTTTTTTTCTATAAATATGAACCATAAAAAAATTAGAATCTACAAAAAATATATTTCATTTTAATACAAAAAATGAAATAAAAATGTCTTTTGGTTGGCTTTACATAGCACCAAAATTTCAAAGCCGTCGATTATACTTGTAAACAAAAATAATTGTTAGACTGCACCAGACGAAGGAAGGCAAGTTTTAAATTTTAGGATATTTTATGTTGGATATTCATTGCTAATTTGTAATGTCAGGGAAGGCAGCAGAGCACCTAGGCAATTTTAAGTTAAAACCTATGCCAAATTTTTAGGCTATTTTTATGCTACTCGTTTTTTGCAAAAATCAAGATGCTCTGCTAGCTTCGAACGAAGTCAGCAGAGCACATCAGTTTTTTAAGGTTTTTTCCAAAAACGACACAATATTTTTAGGCTATTTATGGCTCTTAAAATATTATTTTTAAAAAATACAGGGTCTTTGCTAGCTTCGAACGATGCCAGCAAAGCACATCTGTTTTAACAAAGCACATCTGTTCCAATAAAGCACCCTGTATTTTTTAAAAAACACTATTTTTTTCGAAAAGTTTATAATTTTAGAGCCTAAAAATAGCTTAAACATGTGACACAAGTAGATGCCAGAAAAAATATTAACCGAGATGCTCTGCTAACTTTGTTCCAACAACGCACCTTGTATTATTTTAAAATAGCAATTTTTAGTAGAGTTTTATAATATTTTAAGAGCCTAAAACTGCGGTGTGGTTTTTAGAAAAAAAAAAAAACATTAAAAAACCGAGGTCTCTGCTGGATTCGTTCGAAGCTAGCAGAGAACCTTGAGCGAACCTTGAACGAGGAGCATGAAATTTTTGAATAGGGTATAATAATAGCCCTAAAATGACCTAGAAGTATGGCATAGGTTTCAACTCAAAATTGTCTAGGTGCTCTGCTGCCTTATTTGACATTAATTTGTAGATTGTTACGTTTATCTTCTAAATATTAAAAATCGGTCTTGATTCTCAGTCTATTTCAGTTTTCACTTGACGACAAATCAAACCGTGAGTCGACCATTCGCGCCGGCGTAGTTGGGTCTCTAAAATGATCCGAGACTAAAATTGGTGATTCGAATACGAATCCTTAAGGATTTCCTCGGCGGATCCGGATCACGGATCCTTTTTTTCCTAAGTATTCGAATACCGCTCACGGATCCTCAAAAAGAATCCTAAGTGATTCGAATCCTCCCCAGCTCTGGTGTGTGTATGTGTGTGTGTATGTGTTTGCGTGTTTGTGTGTTTGTTTGTGTATTATTAAAAATTAATCTTATTAAGAAAATCGTAAAAAATGAGTCACCCTGTATATATTAATTTATATTTCGTGAACGCACCACTTTTGTGAGTTTAGGTTCATTTTGGAACACCCATACAGTCGACTGCTGTTTAGTTTCAGGCTCATATGAATATATCCAAGATTCGTCACCTGTTACGATGTTATATATACCGAATTTGAATGACCCCCTTCGAATTTGTTTAGCATTTCCTTGCACCACTTGACACGTGTCTGTTTTTGTTCTTCTTTCAAATTGTGTGGGATCCAACGACTGCAAAGCTTCCTGACATGCAAATGATCGTGCAAAATCGTATGTATTTGTTTCACAGCATCAATATTTTTCGTGACAACAGAGGTACATGGACGACCTTCGCGAAGATCGTTATCAAACGTTGGTCTTCCACGCTTGAATTCTGCGAACCATTTGTAAACCATAGTTTTGGATGTTGCTTCATCCCCAAATAATGAACTAAGTTTTTCCACACATTGCTGCGGTGTTAAACCGTATCGAAAATCATAAAAAATCATCACTCGGAAGTCACGATTCTAAATTTCCATTTTTCACACAAATATTACTCTCGTTAAATTTTGTTGAAACGAAACCGAGCAGTTTGAAGTCGAACTGTCAACTGAATGATGGGTAAAAAACGTAAAATTTTACGAATATAACAATTGCAGAACGCTGGCAATACAAGGAGTACTTGATTCCGCGTACTTTAGCAGTGGCCCTCGTATCTCCCTTCGATTGGTATATTAGATCACCTAGTATCTGTATAAATAACCTTTGGGAACTCAAAAACGAATAGCTTCAACACTTACTCAATAACCGATTATGACTCTGTTTATTCTGAACTCTCCCTAATAAACTGGCTGCCGCTTCTAAATCCTATAGAAGATGTTAGTGGTATGTGGAATATATTTTACACAATAATATTTAATACGATTGATAGACACACACGTAAAAAATGTTTTC